TGGTTGGTTAAGACTATGATGTTATGTACTTTGTACCCAACTTCTCGATAAAATATGGTGCGTTTTAAAAGTGTGCATGTATACACACATAGAGAGAGAATTTGTTTGCTCTATCTGAGAAACAAAGCTAAAACCAAAAAAAAACTAAAACTAAAACCACAGCATGTAAACTCTCTATAAGTAAGAAGCTGACCTTGACCATAGTAAAATGATCTGCCTTTGATCCAATGCTCACTGTGAAAAGGAAACAAACATAAAAGATGATTTTTAAAAAAAAATGCTGTTAAACATTTTTCTAATCAATGAAAGGTATCTAAAGAGAGGACACTTAAAAAAATAAATCCAGCTTTTTGCCAGTGTCAAAACTCTAGACCATAAATGCAAATTTATCAGTATCATTTGTAGAATGATAATAGGTTTATCCAGCTGCCATCTCTGTTACATACAAATACAATTATCTCTTAAATAGCCATGACCCTTCCACGACGCTGTGTCTTTGTACTTTGAACTCTCTCTGCCTGGAATTCACCTCCTCACCCTACCACCTCATAACTACACTCACCATCACCTTCACCTGGCAAGCTTCTCTATCTGCTTCAAGGTCAATTTCAAATACTTCCACCTTCCTGAAGCCTTCCCTGACTCCGTCAGGCAGAGCTTATTGTCCGCCTCCCACCACCCTGGTCCCCCATCCCTTCCCGTGCTGTACTAGAAGCTGTCCGTCTAGATGCCTCTCTTCCCACTAGATCATGAGTTGCTGGAAGGTGACGGGGGGTGGGGGGAAAGAGGGAAGACTATGGCTGTGCTGATGTATTGTAGGAGTGCAATGATGTGTTAAACAAATTAATGATTCTTTTTAATGGATAGAGCAAATAGAGGATTTACTAACAGTGGGTTGAACAGCCACACAACAAATACTTATTGAGCACCTACTACGTCCCGTACATTGTAATAGGCCTTGGGGGATGTGAGGGCAGTTCAACAAGTGATGAGACACCTTGCTCTATCTCAGCAAGTTTACATGTTTACATCCTGGATATTTGTATGTAAAGGTAATTTAAAAATAAAAATTAAAAAACAAAACAAAACAGTATATGAGAGTGTCTATGTTCAGTACACACAATAATATTAAGGAATTACTTACAGTTAGAGTGGTAATTTCTAAATCGCTAATCATCAATCAGGAGATATCTCATGCAAGAAGAGGTGGGATTTTGAAAGATAAGTAGGATTGAACTAGATGGAGGTAGTGAAGCTTTTTCAGGTGGATAGACAATGGGATTAAGAAATCTAAATCAGTTTGGAGCAAGAATATAGCAAGTAATAGTACAAGGTGACTTACTCTTCTTTAGATTAGAATGAAATCTGTTAGGGCCGGCCCGGTGGCGCACTGCTACAGTGTGCCGCTTGGGAAGCGCGGTGGTGCTCC